GGGTTCATGGGTTCATGGGTTCATGGGTTCATGGGTTCATGGGTTCATGGGTTTGGGGTTTGGGGTTTGTTTGTTTTTGTGTCGGAGGTTTTGGGTTCGGGTGTTGGAGGTTTTGGGTTTGGGTGTTGGAGGTTGAGGTTTCCGAAGGGATGTGTTTGCAAAGTTTTATTGCTCTTAATATTTCTATTTGAGTGCCATTGAGCGTCATAGATGAAGCCGTGGCAGTAGCTGTACCTTCTGGTGGTCTTGTAGCAATAGTACCTTCCTCGAACGTATTTTAGGAGATGTTGTGATAGAAAGTTCAGTCTCTTTGTGAATCAATCTACAGTGCGTCTGTACAGCTTCAACTTGTAGATCTACCTATTAGTGCTACATACCACATATTGACTTTTGTACCTTTAGTATCCGGACAGAAATCGAATTGTTGTGCGTGTACATGTAACTGCTTCGTTCTTGTATCATATCAACATGTCACGTGGATTATAGCGATGAGTTCAAAGTAACTCGATTCGTATCCAATTTAGGTTGGCGTCGAGACTGTGTATCTTGTTGTCTGTAAAAGCTAAAGGACAGGAACTCTGCTCCTCCTTCTTAGAAGCTCTATCACGACGCGACTTGTCCACATGGACATGCTGTACCCGATGAAATCTCTGAAGTGATGGGGAATTTCCTTCGTTGTAAGAAAGAAGACAGAAGTGCATTGTTAAACAAAAAATTACAATTGCTATGACTATGAGCCCGATTATGTGAAGACGAAGTGTGTGGTGTGTAACTCTGTGTGTAAAGTCTTCTTCTTCTCCAGTAACTTACTCATTTACTCAAGTGGTCAGATAGGTCGTTCAGGTAAGAAGCTAGCTTTAGTGTTGTTTTCTCCGTAGTCTTGAACAAGTTGTAGTTGTTGCCAATACTTGTCGCGTTTTAAGTTCTCCTTTCATTGTCGTTTAGTTGTCAGCTACTACCAGAACTAGGTTACTAGTTAAGATATTTGAGTTCAGCACTTTCCCTTCCTTGTTTTTACTTACTGTTCTTTGAGTAGTTAATACTTACTAGATTTAAAATTGAGCTTCCGCCCTCGGGTTTCTGTCTAAAACTACTACTGTCGGCTTCGTTAACTGCGCGTAGTAAGCTTCGGCCTCTCACTGTCCCTAGGTAGTTAGTGTTGCTGTAAGCTGTGCTGTTAGTTGAGGTTCCTTGTGCTTTGTTGCCTAGCCTTCAGGTTTTCGAGGTTTGTTTCATTCCTTCCATCATTTCGTGGCATCCCTTTGTCTTCGCGCCTGTCTGTTGCTTGCTAAACGTAACGTACCCCAACTCTCAGGAGCACTAAGCTCCGCCTGCCGCCGGTTTGCGAACTGGATAAAGCTGAGGCCGCTCTTTCAGTAGCCCCAGGATACAAAAAAAAAAGAAATTTTTTCTGAAATCTCCAAATCCAAATCTAGTGCGACTATGAGAGAACTTCTATGTCATATAATCTTTTGTATCTGACGAGGTATTTATCTGTCGGTATCGATTGATGAGGTGGCAGAACGCAAATCTAATGATCCGATGAAGAAGATCTTGCTTCTGTGTAGTACTATGACGCCCTTAAGGGAGTCTGCACTGAACTTTGTGCGAGAATAATTGTATCGTATTGTATGCCTGCTGTGGTCGTGCGAGAGATATCTTAAATTTCGGTTTTTAGAGACGAGTTTGAGTGTATATTACTTACTCTTCAGAATGAGTACTACTGAGGTAGTTTCTGTTTCTAGGTCATCTCGGTCGTAGTTCCAGAAGTTGACCACAGAGATCTAGCTTCAGCTACTTCCAACATACCTCGTCCGTATATTCGAACAAACCTCGTTCGTATATGCTTCCACAACGTCATATGCAACACTTGTCACCACTGCAGGTTTCGGTATCCTTGAGAATCCAATCGGTTTGCGCCACAGCATTTTCCTCCCACATTTTCCGAAACTTCCACTCCAACCATAAATATTTACTTGTAAAAAAAACCGAAGTCCATTGTTCTAAGTAGTGCTAGAATTTACTACAGGAGTGGTTGTTACTCGTAGGGGTTTCAGATTTTTGGAGGTGGATTCATAACAAGATGAGTGCTGATCTTAGAGAGTACGATACAAAAATTGAACGAGTCATTGTTGAAAAAAATAGTCCCTCTTGATCATACGTATTCGATTTTCGTCTCCATTTGTTCTTGGTACAATCATTCTGGTGAAATAAGTGAGTATCTGATCACGTCGACGAGTAGAGCCTACATTTTTTTTACTTACGAGTAGAGCCAGACAAAGATATTACTACCCAACGACGTGGTTTCTCCTAGTCATCTCAGCCAGCCTGTGAAGTGTACTAGGACCCTGAACCTGGAACCGTGCACGCTACAACAAAGGAGCTGCTGGAAGATACGACCTGCCTTGTACTATCTATGCTGGGAGAATGGTGCTGCTTCCAAATTCCAACTTCCTTGGTCGCACTTCTTCTGGGCACCAGACGAGAATGCTGAAGTCTGCTTGGGTCCTCGGCTTTTCCGCATTCACAGGAGTTTTGGCCCATGATGAGAAGCACAAGCATGGCAATCACCACAAGCACAAGACCAGCACTAGTTCGTCTTCTTTTACCACTACAACTAGCTCGGACAACCCCCGCCAGGATCACATGGATGGCCATTCCATCAGCAGTAAGATGAGCAACGAAGGCACACCCACAACCTTTTCCTTGTTGCAGCTCGGCGAATCCGCTACTGCAAAAGTTAAGGTTCTAGTTTTGCTTTTGTATGTGCTGTGCAAGATTATTAACTCAAAAGAGATTCAGGGAAGTCGTGGGTCCAATCCGAATCGACTAACATCATCATGGCCTAGCTCTTTCTCCCTGCCTCGTAAATCTTAGGTTAGGCCGTCCCTCGAAGTCGATCCAATAACAACTTGTCAGCCTGATTCCTTACTTAGCACTACATTAAGAAAGTAGCCAGTTGAAAATTTTCCCTCGTCTTACTCCCTCCACCACGCATTAACCGAATTCCTTGTGAGATGAATCAATACTTGATAGTTCATCATTCGGTCTCATTGCCCTTTCTATTTGAAGGCACAATTTGACTGGAAGGGCCTCAAATCCATTTGACAGGATGGAACATGAGGTCGCATGACATGACAGGGGAGAGATCAATGGGAGTTGTGGTCAGGGGTGAATCGGGACAATTTCCCTCTCAAGGTAGTTCTCCCTCTTTAGCCTCTTAGTTAGGGGTTGAGTGATCTACCTCGTGAGGGGTTGAGTGATCTCCTATTTACCTCCTTAGTGGGGTGATACTCACACTCAGGCACTCGTAGGATACCTTTATTTCTAAATAGAGTCTACTCTATGTATGGGATACTTCTCTATAACAAGAATGTATACTACTCTTACATCGGCGAAGCAGTGGACCCTCAACCTTAATCTTAACCTTGCTGGGGAACAACTTATAATTACTATAGCATACTTGTACTTCACATACTCATGATACCTCGTCCATTTTTTACGTATGTCTAAGAAGACCAAGGGGAAAGCAGGGAGTGGAAATGTGAAGGAAATGGACCCGGGAGATGTGGTGATAAAGGTGATTGGACCTGGCGATGCCGCACAAGATGAAATCGCTGTGGAAATCCTACAGGCGGTATTATCTTCCTTCATACTAGACCATTATTATAGTCATAGTCTGACTAATATACTTGTTTATACTTGTTACAATGAATGAATGAATGTTACATTATCATGATAGGAGGTACAGACTCGAGGACATCTGGAGAACTACGTTAATATGTTACGGAATATTTCTGTAATTTTTGAGCAGCTTATGGTTCCTAGGGAGATCTGAAAATGGTAGTACATTCTGATCGTTTACTTTATCTTGTTCTTGAGATTGTTAAAGATTATGGTGATAAGCAGTACTATAGACATTTGTTATAAATCAGGCCTTCACGTCTTTTTTTTGGTTTTTTCCTAGTTAGCTTCGCTCCACCACTACTATAACACGGAGTTGCGTTAATCCGCTCGAGTATGCAGGTAAGACTGTGGGCGGCGGACTGAATCCTAATCCTAAACATGACATATTAAATGAAAATGAATCGTGAGAATCGTATCAATCTTCAGTTGATGCCGGGTCCGATGCACGGCGCTCAGGGTTCCAATGGAGGGGGTGGAGTCGTGGTGGGCGATGCCCAACGAGGCGATCCTATGTTAAGGCTACAAGAAATCCATCTTCACAGGCATGCTCACAGGCATGCCCTTTAGGCTAAAAGAAATCCATCTTGGTCCTCCCGACCTTTTTTAAAGGGACGAAAACAGGCATGTCCTGCAGGCTAAAACAAATCCGTCGTCCTCCCGTTTTTCGACTTTGCTTAGTTCTAACTCCGCAAGCGATGAGGCGTGACTTGGATCTGTCTATTGCTATGGGTTTGATGCCCATCATCCAGGCGATGGGCAAGCCCCCGGTACATCCTTGTGATCCTATCTTGGAAAAGGTCTGTCCTGGTATTCCGCGAAACCGCGTACACGATTCCATCCACTGTCTCGCCACTCATCCAGAGCAAGTCTCGAAAGAGTGCGAACAACGGGTACTTGATGATAGATTTTATTGTTGTGGACAAACGCGGTGTGGACCACGTCGTTCCCTCATATCGTCCCAGGACGTAGAGGCGCGGCAGTCGCAGCTGCGGGGAGGTCGGCGCCCTGTGGAAACAACGGCGCCCTGTGGAGGCGAACTGATTGATTGAGTGCTTGATTGTTGTAGTACTTAGCGTTCATCCACTACTACAGTATCAAGTATATGACTTTCCTCGATGGTTCGGATGTAAGTAGCTCTTATTCTCTACTTGCAATTTTTTATAAATGAATGTAATGAATACTTAGGAACAATGAATACAAGGAATATTAGCTATTTAAGCAAAAAGTAGAAGTTGTGGCTGTTGTAGAGGATTATAAAATATATCTTTTGTAGAAATACGCGAGGTCTTGTACTACTAGAAAAGAGGCGGGTTTGTTTATAATTGTCCTCATTCGACGACGGGCGTCAACTAGTAAATACTTCTCATCACACTTGTATTTGTATAGTTGCTAACTTCGAGTGTCCACATCAACGCTTTACCTCAGAACAGAACGATGTACGTTTCCTTCAGTGTTGTACTTTGTACGTTTACCACCTCAGTATACAACCTTGTACTACGTTACCACGCCTCGACCACATCAACTAGGTTCACAATTCGCTGTCGTATTTGTGCCATAAGGAACTGGAAACTCTGTGTGATGAAAGGAAGACGGACCCGTTCGACATTTCTCCGCTGCAGTGCTTGCGCGTTGCTATGGAGCAAGATGCGCGGCAGGTGAGCGAGCAGTGCACGAACGCCATGCAAATCACACATCGCATCATGAACACGCTGAACACGCCTGGTGCGAAAATCACTCTCGAGCACAAGGATGCAGCCAAAGCCGCAGAGGAGGGACCATTACACGTTGTGGACCCACAAACAGGTATTTGTTTCGACTGGGTGGATGTTTCAACTTACTTATGAAAATATATTCATTTACAAGTCCCAACTCAGAATAATTTCTGTGGTTTATATGTTTCAAGGTCGTGTAGGTGTATGTTTTAACTTTAAGGTCGTGTAGGTGTTGATTTGTGAAAGTCATAGTTCAAATTCTCAACTCGTGTGAAGATGAGACTGCCACCTTTATGGCCACGTGATATAACCCCTGTCGCTGGGTACCTTACTGCCATGATGTATGAGAAAAATTATCATATTCAAAAGGTCATACGATGTCTTCGCTGGCCTCGGTTGCGCAGTGGCAAAAGACGGTGCTTTTTCCGGTCGTAGGCGCCCTGTTATTGACCATTATGGTCGGGGCACTGCTGGGTCGCTCCGCGGTGGTGCGACAGGCGGCGCGTGAGCACCTCGAGTCTGCTCGGATGGCCGTCAAAAGCTACTTCGTGCCTACCAGGTCGTACACCAGTGACAGTGGACAGGAAAATCTAAACGACTTCGGGTTGGAGCCTGGCTGCAAAGTTAAGGTTATAGTAGTATTCAGATTTTGAAAAATTATTTATATTAGAACATTTCGTAAGAAGGATGTTGGATTGGATGGATTGCATGGCATTGCATGCATTGCATGAGCCGAGGGGGTCAGAGTGCGACCTTCTTAAGGGAGCGACACGGGAACGAAGACTCAGGGCGCGGCATAGGAATAATTGGCTCCGTTGTAGGAGTAAGTACTTGAATAGTGCTGGCACGTACTAGCTATTGTAAGTAGCTCGACTAGGCTAGCTTGCCTGTGATCTCGACCGTCTTGCTCACTGTTCCCTGGCGCACACAGGCCACGGCGTTTGCGCTGCTCCTTGCTTGTTTCTGGGGCGAGGTCACAGTGGGGCCGTGTTTGTGTTCGTGTATCGTAAAGTAATTCTCCGGCGGAGCCGCCCGGTATTGCGGAGGAAGTATGGCGCCCGAAGGGCGCCGCGCAAAATATATTGTTTTTTGGGTGGTCCATCCATGCAATGCATGCCATCCATGCCATGCAATCCAGAAGTTCGGAGGTTGCCTTATATTCTATTATATATTTTCTACACTCTTACTCCACCGAAATACTGATCTTAGAAAGTCCTAGGTTCATCTTATATATTATATATTGAAGATTCATTCAGTAGAGGTAGAGCGTCGCAACAACTCAAATGCAATCTCAACAGCTGCTTGATCATATTAAGAGTCCGAGTCTTTTTGCTTTGTACTAAGTACCTAAGACGTCTAAGTACAAGTAGGTACAAGGTTCTTGTCATCCCTCTAATAGAGATCCGCAGATGCGTCGCGTGCACCTGAACACAGCAGCGATCGAGATTTCGCCGGAATCGAGTCCGATGCACGTAACCACGGGTGCACAAATGTTGGCGGATCCTCTCTTAAGGCTCATGAGGTAAAGGCAAATAAGTAACTCTACTACGTCGGTCTTTTGATCGAAAAATGTATAGCGGCAATGAATCTAGTGCATGTAGTCGAAATCCAAAGCTATTTGGTTTAGATTTTCTGTCTAAGGCTAATAGATGCAACTTTGTACTAGGATTACATATTTCTTTTCTAATGCTTGTCGGAACGGAGCCTGCTGCTGTCGTCTCACTCAATGGAGTTGGTAATGCTGCAGGACACAAGTACGCGGGTCACGGCGACCTTGCGACTTCTTCCGTACGAGGTGGGGCAAACTCAGCTGTCTAGGCGGATGACGATTTGTTTCAGAAGTGTTTGAAATCGATGAAGGGAGAGGGAAGAGGAGGACTAGTTTATGAACAATGGCGAGGAATTGAAAAGGAAGGACTAGTTAACGAAGGGGGAGGAAATGAAAGAGGATTCCAGTAGTTATGATAGACGTTGGTCGTGTAGTTATTTTTCGCCATCTGGAGGCTTGAAGTATCCAGCTCTAGAGTTGTGGGAGGCCCTTTATCCTCAAGGGCGGGAGCGAGAGCATACGACACGGCACCCTTTCGGGTGCGGATGGTGAAAAACTACCGCTTCGTCATAGAGGCAAGATTCATCATGCGCACAAGTAGACATAGACACATTTTATTTGACTTTAACAAGAAAACCAAAAGTAGACATGATAAAAAGTAGACATGAGGGTACTTAAGTGAGTACTACACGATGATTATGCTGAAGATGCAGTATTAAGAACAATACATCTGATTCTAGTTATGAAACAGTATGCCAGCAACAACAAGAAATAGGCCGCTGTCCTGAAAATGACTATCTGTCATGATATCGTTGTACATAGATGGAAGGAAGACGTTCAAGATGTAGAGTCAAGGAAGGTGCTTGTGAAAGTAAACCTATCGAAGATCTTCGTTCAGAAAGAAAAACTAGACCAATTGGCTTTCTTCCACTACGCATGAGATAGCATAAGTTAAATGTCATAAATATCAAATCAGAAGAAGATCGTAATCGTTGCAGCCCGGAGCGCATCATCAATACAAACAAACGAACGAGTAGACTTGATTTGATACGTAAATATACATAAAGAGAGCCCAAGCTGTAATCAATGCAGAAAGAGTGATGGCCAGTTCAACAGCTAATGTGGTGATCGATTCCAGAACGAATTACTAGAAATGTGGAAGAAGTTGCAAGTAGAGCCAGCCGTAATCATGTTTAGTTACTCTTCGTTGTGTGCCTGTCGTAGAGCAATTATTAGAGATAACAAATAAATAACTCTATTGTGATGTTGATGCTGTGATGCTAGAAGTATCTGGAGGATACAGGTCGTTTGCCCCGTGGAAGGTGTAGGTGAGGCAAATGTTATCCTATCATGATCGTCACGTTCGGTTCGTTTTTCCCTCATAGCCTAGATGTATCCTTGCATGCAAGCTATCATGATCGTCACAACTAGTACTACGCGGCGTTTAATACTTCTATCGTGTGACTCTAGAATCATAACCGATGATAGATTCTCTGCGACTAAACGGGGCGAAGATATTAAAGTGACCAACTTTATGTCGATGCCTAAGAACTTGAACAGATTGAAGTTCAAGTTCTATCTGCAGCATCTAGGTGAAGTATCAAGAACTAGTCTCTACTTCATCTATCAGAGCTACTAGTGTCTACGGGCGGTTTATCGGTTCTCGTTCAACAGTTAAATGTTCCGGGCGTGTAGACAGTAGGACATCAAAAAATGAAACAGCACTAGCAAAGACGCGGCGCCCATGTTGACAGCTCTAGCTCCCCCATCGATCTAGGTGGAACAAGACAGATAGAGAGAGCGCAACGGTGGAGGTCGTAACGACAACGCAGTCAATGGACGGCCATGTCTGCTAGTAAATCTGGGAGACCAACGCCCAACCTAACCTAACCAGCTATGCAGAGCGCCACGAAGAATTTTTAACACTTTGATGGAGAACAAGGTGGCTCGAACGAACTTAATTTTCTAGATCTAAGTACAACAATGTCCGTCGCATCATTCTAGAAATCCTGTACGGAACACTAACACATCTTGCAGCTGCTAGGGGGCACACATCTCAACATGCATGCATAGATGACCAGGAACCGCCAGACGTGATTAGAACGAAATTAACAATGCAAATTGTGAAATCAATCGCTATTTGCATAGTATGTCAAATTTATCAAATATCGAGAAAGTAAACACTTATTTATTATGAGATTTCGGTTTGGTGGATAAACGGGGAAAAAGAAACTGCTAGAGGACTATAATCTGTTTATATTTGATATTGAGAACAAAAAGAAGACCAATCATCTGCTAAATATGCGTGTGCAGCAGCAAATAGCGAACCTTTTTTAGATTTATGATATGATGTGATATGGCGGAAGCATACGAACGTATGCCTATCATGCCTTCTACAAGATTACTCACACTCTGAAGGACGACGCCGATTTCTACAAAAATGCACTAAATGTTGCAGCAAAAAACCTCTATTGAGACCATATGACATGGTGCGTTTCTCTAACGGAGGCAAATTCTGTGATGGGAGCGACTGCGAAAAAGATGGCTCTGTGATAAGGTTCCGGAACGCCTTTCGTAGAGAGAATAGGCGCTTTTCTTGGGGCTTGCGTCTCGTCACCATTGAAAGTCTTCGGTTTTGGAGGTTGATCCATCTCCTGTTCTTGAGAGATTTGTCTGTGCCAAACTCTCTGTCGACGAGGTCTGTTTCCATATATCTAATGGTGCTGTTGTTTTTTGTTAGGCGTTCTCATTCTGAACAGTATGCAATGAATTACCATGATTTCCCAAAATGATATCTTATTAAGGAATGGAAACCTGTGGCGCATTAGTCATCTGATGAAAGACTTTAGTTCGCATTTGTTCAGGTATTTATGGTACACTGAATGTTCCATCGCCTCCTGCTCAGCCTTTTTGTGTTCATCTTCAAGACTTGCGCTTTTTCTAGCTTGTAGGTGTAGGTGCCACCACGTTCTCGTGGCCTTACTTTTGGTGTTATCAAGTAGAAGAAGAAATACATTTTAGATTAGAGTCAGTCTCCTCATGGATACATTCATTTCATCACATTAGACTAGAGAGGAGATATACATCAGACGCATCACTTATTTTTCTCGCGTACGACATCATCGACATTTTTTATTTGATCAGGATGACGCAAAAAAACAAGAATGGGAAAAGGGGTGGCAAGAAAATGTCCTCTGCCGCATGTACTGTTTTGGCGCTATCTTCCTCCGCGGGCGCAGTAACGTTGGGCCCGCCGCCTCCTGATCCCTCTGCAGAGGATCTTCGGGTCCAGAAGGAAGTCGAAAAGGCATTCGCAGAGAAGAAGGCGGAGCGGATCAAATTTGAATATCCGCAGACACCATCTGGTAGGCATTATTGCGAATCGGAAAATACAGAAGCAGCTATGGCTATGATCAAGTCCGACGTCCCCGTCCCCGGAGAAAAGGACTCTTCTTCTGTATTTGAGAAAATTACAGGAGACCCCAAGCTGGCAGCTTGGTTCAATAGCGAACGCGGGGTCACACTGATCAGCTCAGGTGGTAGTTTTGGAAATGTCTATAAATATTGGCAGAAAAACCACTACGGTAAGAGTAAGTCGCTCTCGCTGAAAATCGTCAAGGTGGACAAGAGCCAGACGAGGGAACATTTTTATCCCGAGTGGAAGATCTCGCGCGAGGCTTGTTTCAGTCTGTTCTTTTCGCAGGGATCACCGGGACCGGCGTCACACGTCGTCAAAACATACGAGGTGTGGCGGTGGAAGTTGCAAGAAACACCAGAAATTTGGCATTACATGCTTGTCCAAGAATTGTACGCGATGGACCTTTTCGACTGGATTTCGGAAAATCAGGAGAAAAAGGAGCGGATTTCGCCAGAGACGTTCCTCGACGTTAGTCGGCAGCTCATCCAGGCACTTGTTTATCTTCATGGACTTAATATCGCCCACAGGGACGTAAAGCCGGAGAACATTTTTTTGAACTTGCAGGGCGGGGACGGTCCTTCGGGGTTGAAGTTGGTACTCGGCGATTTTGACTGGGCGAGCTCAGCGAACGGGGGGGGCGGCGGAGATAACGACTCCCTTTGGGTGGACACGTGGAACACCAACAAAGGAGTAAAAGATTGGCAGCGCGACCTCTGGCCGCTGGGCCTGGTTCAGTACCTGTTGCTTGGCCAGGTCAAGCCGGGGAAGGATGAGGAAATGTACATAAAGATGGCTAGGTGGGTGATGAGCCAGCGTGAGGCCAACTCTTCAGAGCGTGGCCCTCAAAGCTGGTGTGACAAAAAATTGGAAAAAAGCGCACCTCCCTTCTGGCATGAAGATAGATCAATATGGTCGTGGAATCCTGCGTCTGCTTTTTCTTTCCTGGAGGATTTTTACAAGAACGGCGTACTTCCGTACGCGTTACAGTTAAGAGTCGCGCCTTGACATTAATATAGAAAGAGAGTACTAACTTATTCATTGTTTTCGTAATATTAAGAGCAACTTCATCTAGAGTGTGTAGTTCTCCCACAACATCCCTGCGTCCGTATGGATGGTAATGCAAACAGTTTGGTACGGCTTTTCTCACCTCCGACTACAATGCGAGCAGGAATAGTTGGAAGCTGGGAAGGCGCAGCCCGACTAAGTGCTTCCTGCTAGCTTTCAACTACTTCCATCTGTCGCTACCAAATGCCGTCTCCCTCGAGTGGACTATGACATCTGGCTTCGTATAAGTGCACGGTCAGTAGATCGTTTTTGTCTTTAACCTGCAGTTCTAATGTTCTGCGAACCAGCCAAGCGCAATCTCGAGAAGCTTCGCGAAGCGTTGGAAAAAGTGACTCAACAGGTGAAAGAGGCTGAGCGCAAGCCCCAACAGGTGCGAGGGACCATCCGGGGCCGGCTCTTGGCGAAGGCAAGACAGTACTGATTTCGTTTCTACTTCTACAGGCCGACCCATTGAATCTCGTTAGTGTCCAGCTGTCCTGGTGTCCATCTGTCCTGGTGTCCATCTGTCCTGGTGTCCACCTGTCCTCCCTGGTGTCCAGCTGTCTTGGTGTCCAGCTGTCCTAGTGTGTCGGTGTGCAGCTGTCCTTGTGTCCAGCAAGCTCTCCTGATGTCCGCGTCCGGCCGTCCAGCTTTCTATCCTCGTCTCTGGCTGTCCTTGTATCTGGTTGTCGGCTGTCCTCGTGTCCGGCTGTACTCGTGTCAGGCTGTCTTTGTCCCGCTGTCTTTGTCCCGCTGTCTTCGTGTCCGGTTGTCCTCGTGTCCGGTTGTCTTCGTGTCTGGTTGTCCTCTCCTTGTGTCCAGCTGTCTTTGGTGTCTTTGTGTCCCGCTGTCCTCTTATCCACATCCTCATAGAAAGGGTCCTGAAGGATGCTGGCGTGGATAGGAAAGCAGTAGATGAGATCGTTCTCCTGCCCATCTTCCGTCCAGCTGTCCATCCGCCCGATGACCGTCCATCCGCCCGACGACCGTCCATCCGCCCGATGACCGTCCATCCGCCCGACCGTCCATCCGCCCGACGGCCGTCCATCCGCCCGACCGTCCATCCGCCCGACGACCGTCCATTCGCCCGACGACCGTCCATTCGCCCGACGACCGTCCATCCGCCCGACGAC